GCGGGGGGGGGAGAAATAAATAAAGAAAATTAGCCATCAGTTAACAACTATGCCAAGCATTTCAAACAACTATTTCCTCTTAGCTTTATTAGACCTATTTATTAAGTAGAATTTAGAGAAACAGGGGAGGTTTTGAATATGGGATCTAATTCTTGCACACGTGTCCATGTGTCGTATGTTAAAAACACACACCCTCCCCTAAATGGAATTTCCAAGAATGCCACCATGCAAGTACTATTACCAGGAAAAATCATCTCAATTCCTGTTGGCAAATTTGAATGGCTGTTTTAATAGGACATCTCTGACACCAGCAAAACAAATACTTAAACAAACTCTAAATTGGATTTCTGTCTTTAATCCACAAAGGAGCCTTAGCTATTAGTCAGCTGCCCACCAGCAACAACCCCAGAACAAAACAGGCACTGAAGATACACAATGCCTGGAGACTGCAGGGCACTAAAGACAACCAGTATATTGGCAACTCTAAATATTTAATCTTCATATCCTAATTTTTGTTTAAAAGAACTGATGGAACACAAGCAAGGTTAGTAGGAAAGTACAAACATGCAAAATGTAACTGAAAAATACGAAGTCACTCTGATCCATAAATAACTTGAGCTGTTTTTGTAAACAGAGGGAGTTATTTTTGCCACAGCAGGTGTGAAATTACAGTAGTAGTGATACTTCCAGATCAGTTTCCCTAGATGCCTCATTTCGGGACTCAAGCAAACATGTATGCTTTTAAGAGGAGACTGTACTTGAGGAAGAACAGATATCTCAAAAAGCTGCATAAGGTACATTCTATAACCACATCAAAACCTTTTTAAAAGGCTTCAAAAGCTAACTGCTTTAGTAATCTGAAATACACTTTGTTTTTCTGTTGACTATGTATCACAATTTTAATCTCAAGCGTTCTGCAAAATTCACCACTAAATTATAAGTAACTTACTAAAATCTGACTGAAATCTCAGGAAAAAAAACACAAAGATATTTGGTGGTTTTGGTTTGGTTAATTGTATAGATAGGTGTATAGATTTATTATATGAAAATTGTTCTCTGGTGTCACAGAACCACTAATTTTCTTTCTTAAATTGAGAAGAATAACAAAAATCTAGTTTGACCAGGCTCCATAGGCAAACATGAGGAACAGAGCTTAAAGCAGTTTAAAAGTTTAGCTAAAATACCAAGAATGGGCTCACTGTGTACAAGGTAAACCATCCTTTTTCTGAACACGTGGTCTGATGTGCGTGTCTGAACTCTCTGATTCACTTAAGCTGTTGCTAGATCTCCATCACCCTTCTACTTCATCAAAAGCAATGTTACAGTGTAAAATAACCATCCCAAATATGAACATAAAGCCTGCCACTCACAGTGGAGTAACCCAACTGCTGTAGCTAACTCCTAAATCCTTTCACTTTTACTAGAAGTCTGTGAAGCCCTGCAGCCTGTGCACTCCTGTATCGCACTTGGTCTTGAGAACTGGAATGAGCTTTCCATTTCTCTTTTGGTGACAGGATTCCCAACTTGTCATCAACCCCAAAAAAAAGAAAAAAATTTTAACCATCTCTTAAATACCACCTCGCTGCCAGCAGAAATGAAACCATGACCCAGCATTTACAAGTCACAAACTGTATCTCTTGCTCTTTTGAAACTCAACTTACAAAACCTGAATACAACCACAAGTTTGTAATGGCTTGCCTTTCGAATACCCAGATTTGCACTGCAGTCTGCAAATAGGGGAGTGTGCAGGAAGGAGAAATCACTACCTCTCTTCCCATTATTTTCTATTTTCCTGCTAAGAACAAAACCTCTCAAGTGCTGTTCCTTGTAAATGTGTTGGGGCAGGCAACAAGACCATACTGACAGCCAATATGCAAGTGTCACTCTAGGAAATTAGCTAATGCATTTGCTCCGAGGACTCTGGCTCAATAACCTGCCCAGCTTACAAGACAATGCTAAATACTCAAAAAACAAAACCAAAACACACACACACAAACACAGAAAAAAAAAAAGGAATAAACCACCCAGAATTACTACACCCACACATCAGCCAAGATCTGTAGAGATGCAAAAATCCTCAGGACTACAGGAGAAAAGAATGCTGGAGGTCCACACTAAGAGTGGGGCCTCTCTGAGCTCCTGAGCAACTTCAGCCTGACTTGCTCACTGCTAGGGGAAAGTAAGATAAATCAATTAATCTTATCTAACTTCAAGTGCCTACACCTGAGCAAATTGTTGAAGTCACCTTTACGATCAATACAGTGAGTAAAGTCAAGGCAGCAAGTCATTTAATTAAATGGAAGTGTTGCCCTTAGCAGAAGAATTACTGCTCTCTATAGACTCCATAGGCTGTATTGATTTGATCTATACAATGCAAACTTAGAAACCACCATCAGATTCACACACCTCACCCACAGACATCTATGCAACAACAGCGCCCATCCCAACACACCTTTAATTGCTTCACTTTTTATTTTGCTAGGAATTAAAAGTTACTTTTCTTTTGATAAAGCCATTGTCACCTTATACAACTAGTCAAACATCAGAAGGTAGGAAACACAAACACTCAAATTAAATTAGGACTATACAGACACAATAGTGACTTTACGAACAGCTATACCCCAAGACTTGATCAAAGAAAGAGGGAATTCTAGCAGTTCATCCAAAATAAAATTATGCCTAATAAATGAAGCTATAGCAGAGCTCCAGAGATGGGCAGAAACACAACCGAAGCTATACAAATTTGATACAGCTCCACGCATCAATTGAACAGGTCTTAAAAAGACAAGAATTTTGAACCAAGATCAGATTTTTGCCTTTCCCAAAGTCTACTGGCTCTTTCCATTTTCTGCCACACAATCTACCATCACAAATTCTTTACACAGTAATTAGATTGCTTTTGTATATTTCATTATGGAAGATACCTCTTCAGTGACAGTTTGCCCAATGGGGAAAAAACACTCCAAAACATTCCCTTAGTTGCTGCCACTAGCTCAGTCCCACACTGCCATATGAATTCCTCCTCCACAAGGTGTCAACATCCAGGTTACTTCCACATATTTTATGCCTTGTGCTCTCCTGCCTGAACAACAGGGCCAAGGAAACCCAGAATTCCCACATGAATTGCAAAGAACTTGCGCTAAAAGCCGCTGTGAGTCCCTGGAAAACATAAAAAAGAGTCACTTCAAAACTCTGTCCTTCTCACAGAAGAATCTCTTACCACCTCCAAGCCTTCCAGGCTGTTACAGTTTTCAAGACCCTCCAAGCATGAGTATGATAAGCTCTCTCCAATCAGCATTTGAAGCTCTGAGAAGGCTCATTCCCAACCTTACAGTACAGGTGTGAGGAGAGCTGCCCTGCCCTCCCACCACCTTCATTTTTCAATATACCTAATAAAACATTGGCATTCCTCCACTCACTGTAGCTTCCACCAGATTCCACCTGAGGCAAGAAAGTCTGGGAAAACCAGCTTCGTGGATATGGAATATATAATTACATACTCTCTGTAACGTAACCTTCTCTAAGGGATTGCCAATCAGTCTTTGCAATGCTGTTAATTTCTGGAGGCCTCAGACCCTCCGAACTCCCCATATCTTTCCTTCTTAATGCAGAACAGCATTCCACGCACATGAAAGTGCTTGAAATCATGCAAGTAAGACCCAGCAGGTCTATGTGCATCGTTTTCCACACTGCATACACATTCTATAAGCAGAGTGAGGCAATACAAAAGATTAGAGGCAGCACACCTCACAGGTGTCTTTATGCCAGTCTGCAGCCTCCTGACCTCAGAGGCTCAACTTAAGACTCAGAGACTGTTGTAATCAGGAACAAAACCAGTTGGTTGTGCACAAACTATTGCATTCACATGAGCCTTCAAAATGCTGCCTTCTAATATTCTAGCCCTTGTGCATAAACTTGTCTTTATCCTATTTTTAACTAATAGGACATATAGAATGTAAGGACAGAGGCCTGCTCCTAAACAGCAGCTGTTGAAGCTAGGACCAGATACCTTAGTGGTAGAAAAGACTCAAAGAAATCATGGAATCAGTTCCCTTCTGCATAAGATATTTTTCCTGCCCACTATTCCCAATTTTTTTTTTTTTTTTTTTTTTTGGGTGGGGAGGGAAGGGTAGATGGAAAAGAAGAAATACATTAGCAGCAACAGACAAGATACACAGAATAACAATGTTTTCAGGAAAGATGCAACAGAGGAGATCATCTCACTACAATTCTACCAGTTCTTTAAAGTAAAGCCTTTGTAGAAAACAATTCTTTTAAATAACACAATTTATAGCAGCTATAGTAAAGGATACACATTTTTGAACAGTAGTTTTCTTATTTATAAGTCTCTCTTCTATACTCTCTGTTGCTACGTAAAAACTATATAGCTGAAATATTTTACTGCATATGGCTAGTCTCAAACTGACAGAACTTATTAATGTGAAATTGGGTACCTCATGGTTGATGACAGTCCAGCCACAAGATGAATCACTGTCACTTGAATTTTCAGACATTTTCAAAGCACACTGCAAGTAAAAGTAGATTCTTTTAACATGCAACATATAGAATTTCACTGCTCTCAAGGAAGAAAGAGAAAACAGAAGAATCCAAATCATGATGTTACAGCAGGACCACACTGACTCACAAATTGTTATTCTGGAATTAAAAAAAAAAAGTTTAGAAAGAAAAATATATTCTTTGGTGCATGTTTCCTATTACCTTTTTTATATTTGGAGCAAATACAGCTTTGCTGGATAAGTACCTATTTTGGCTAGCCAAGAGAGCTCTTGGACTAGCTGAAACCACACACACACACACACAAGGCTAGACAAAAAAATCAGTGATCAAATTTAAAATTCATCTGTAGCATCATTGTTTAAGACATGTTTCAGTAGGGGCAGTCATTTCTGAATTGTTACACGCACAAAAACTACAGCTCAGTCAAGAAAACCACTGGGTTTTTTTTCGCAAAGACACAAAATAGGATCTTTTGGAACTAATTCTCTTCAACTACTGGGCAAAACAATGTTTCATGTTTCTTTCACTCCTCTCAAGTACTCTCAAACATAGTTACTGATTCTGAAGGAAATTCAGAGCGTACCTTGAGAGTACAAAAAGAGAACAAAAAATAACTAAGAACAAATTTCACTTGTTGCAATACTACTTGATGACTTGGCTGGTTATTTTCAGAAGAGAGCTGTCTGGCTCCAGCTGCCTGTTTATTCTTTTCTCCTGCAGCAGGAGTACAGAGTATTCACTATTGTTACCCAGTCTGATTATTTTTTAAAGTTTTTAACAGAAAGACTTTAAAAAGAAACTTAATGCACTTCCTATAATTAAAATTAAAATATATTGAGTTGTTAATTAAAATTTACTATGGATTTATCTTGGGGAAAAAGAAATTCTCAAAAGTAGAACAATTTCCAATCCATTGTGTGTTATGCTATACATCCAATGTCATAAAACAGCAAAAGAAATCATGGTTCACTAAAGCTTCTATAAAATGATGATTCTATTGACAAAGCAGAGAGTTCTGAGACCTTCAGACATCTGCTTTACTTCCCACACCAGGGTACTTCTGGCGAGGACACAGAGAAAAGCACCTATTTGTTTGAATTTATTTACTCTCTACTTATCAATCTTGGTTTTACTCCCAGTTTGTTAACACACAATATATACACAAACCTTGGATCAGAACATCTACATATGCCAATGTGGCTAGAAATTTGCAAAACAAAATATAAACTTTCCAATTCCATTTTACAAAACACAGGAAACATTTGTCTCATGTCTCTACATTATGGTACTTAATTGTACTTTTTTTTTAACATGACACTATTTCCTCATCAACCTCAACTAATGTACTTGGGGTTCCTCTGTAAAAAAGGCAAGTGACAATCATAACCACAGTTTATAAAGCAAAAGTATTCACTAACAATCACAGTAGGTACCAAAGTCAGAGAAACTACATTTCCACTCATTATAAATGCCTACTTTGAATATGGTTGTCATTTTCCTTTAGATCTCATTTCTTCCTTCATCAGTGCTTTTCCTGGAATCTCAGACAGGGGACACCAGGAGGGGGGTGGGTGGTGCTTTGCTTTGGGTTGTTTGGTTGTTTTTTTTTTTAAAACCTACTGTGTTCAATCATCAATTTTTATTTATTTAGCCCTTTTAAATCGTACTTCTTCAATCATCAAAATAACAAGTGCCCAAATGGCAAAGACTGCATTCCAGAGCTCCCATGAGACGATAACATCTGCTTGCTGTCATTAAATGATGTTGCATTTGACCAGGTGTCCAGCAGCAGCATTCCTTCCAGAGGAAGGTAGCTGCCAGCACCAGCAGTTGCCACCTATCAGAAACATGGCTGGCTATGTTGCCAAAACTGTACTGCTGATCTGAAATTAGCTTTGCAGAATTCTCTTTGGTATAAAAACATTCCCATTTAATTCTACAGTTCAGTGAACAGTGATCATAAGAGCACCAAATTTACTGTCACTGAAAACCAAGTCTTCTGCATAACCACAGAAAATGCAGTCTGGGGCAAACAGAGCACAGGTAGCCCCCCAGCCCTTACTAGTGAGTCTGATCTCCACTGGGGAAGAAATCCAGGCTGTGGCTTCATGACACGGCAGTTCCAGTTTTAGTGCATCTCAGTGCTAGATGAAAAACAATGAAGTCACATAATGCAAATCCTTTAACAGAAAATAAGTGAATGAATCTGTTGATACAACTGTATTTACAAATTTTGGAAGGGCAAGTTTTAAGTGCAGACCCTGTGCTGGAGATTGTAATGTCAGTGTTCCTCCAGCTAACTCAGCATTTCATCATGGGCCCTGGCCTAGTCAACATGAATGCTAACATGTTCTCTCTCTCCATCCAGATCACAGACTGACAGACTTAGCACTGCTTAAAACCAGTTCTACTTGATACACAGCCTTGGCCACAGGCTTCATGGAGCATTAAACATCTGTCTTCCCTTCCCAAACAAAAGCTTCAGGACCTCACTATGTGGGTATCAGCATCATCAAAAACATAAAAAAACCCCAGAGGAACACACAGACAAACAATCATAATTTTCCATTACTTGCTGGCCTTGATAAATTGCCTCAAAAGTCACCTACCTTTTATTCAACCAGAATGTTACACTAATACTGCATATCTAACTTCATACAGGTGATCAATCTCCAAAATAGAAAAGTTTTTAATAACAAGAATGGAATAAAAAAGAATAATTACAAAAACATTGAGAACTGCTAGATTTATCAAATTTATTGACAGATAGATAGGATGGCACCAGACTGACTGGCAGCTCTACGGTCTCTATATTCCTATAAGCACATTCAGCAAATATATATGTGTAAAACAGTGATCAAAAGCAGAACATTTTATTAATTACAATTAGTTAGCTCTAAAAGGGTTAAACTGCCTAAAAGGCTTTAATAAAAAGAACACCCAGATACAGCGTTCCTGAACTTCTGTCATCAGCTGAACAGCTTATTTCTGCAAAAGATTAATAACACACACAGAGTCAAAACTAAATCTGAGGTCACAATCCAGTCCCTTAAGTAAAATGAAATACAGAAGACTAATCTGAGCCCAAACAGAGCTCAGAACAAAATCTTTACCAGCTTGTATCCACCATCACCAAATGACAAAGACCAACTAAGACCCTGTGTGCTTCTCCCACCAGCCAAAGGTGCTGGATGCACTGGCACTGTCTTTAAAAAAAGAAATAGCTTTGGGGCAGGAATCAAACAGACATAAAACCTGCAAACTTCCTAATGAATCAAGATGATCCTAGTGGGTTCTAGTCCAGGAACAGCAGGGATAAGTGAAGGATACAAGGGAGGATTCCGTATTTCCTGTATGTCAGGCCAAGCCAGAAGAAAAGACCGATAAAAAAGAAAAAAAAAAAAAAAAAAAGAAAAGAAAAACACCCCCACCCCCAAATACACACAGCTCCAGTGGTTTGGCTCCTCACTACATACCTTCATTGCCACTATTTTACAAAAGAAAGTGACAGTTCAAGTTCTTCTATACTCCAGTTTAAACTGCAAAGCTGACCCTAGGCCCATGAATATCCTACACTGTCAGTGACATGGCCTTTTAAATTTCTACAGACAAAATAAATATCCATTACGTTCAGAGTTCGACCTTTATGTATTGGGGGGGAGGGAGCAGGGAATCAGAGCTACTTTCTTAACCTTAGTGAAATGCAAACCAGAAGCGTAAGATGTAAAAGCTTACAGCTATATGGACTGTTGATAATGTCACACCAAGTTATCCCCTATATCTATATAAAAATAAATATGGGATATCACATCCCGTTTATCTATTCTGAAGCAAAATAAATACCGGTCTCAGAAAGGATAACCATTCCAGTCTAAACAAATCCCTAGGTTCTTCCTTACACCTTAACAGAGGATTTCAGTGAGCACTGACAAAGATGAATACCAAGGCACCGATAGGAATCTGTGTTCTCTAGAGTTTGCTGTGCTGTCATTCCAAGTAAGAACTCAGCTCCCTTCTACAGTGGCTTCTTTGTTGCACAGCAGAAATAAACACATTATAGTGGTATTATAATTTAGGGTTTTCATGCAAGTTTATTATTTCTACTGAGCAATATAATTTGTTTCCCAAAGTAACATTTTTCTCCTCCACGACCATATTTAGCAACCCATAAAGACCATTTCTTTCCTACGATCTCCAGCAAGCGTGGCTTACCCCGCCGCAAAGTCGGGCAGCCAGCCCCTGCTCACCGCTACTTCTCTCGCACAGGTGTTACCGCATCACACCTGAGACGGAAAGCGGCGCGGAGCCGGAAAGGTTAAAGCAACAATAACACGGTTTATGAAACACAACACCTTGCATCAGCCGGAGGCACAGAGGCAATGACGGAAGCGAAGGAAGTTGGCAAATGCCAGCGCGCAGGG